CACCCGGGTAAGGCAGACAAAGTGGTGTGGCGTCTCAACCCCAGACCTTGCCACCACCAAATGCCGATTGAATACCCTGCCCATAGGCATGATCCGACATGCAAAATTAAATTTTCCTAGGAGCGACTGTAGCCGCCTCAACTGCCCCCTGCATATCCCCCACCTTGTCCACGGGTAAGTGGCATCCCCCCACAACATAATCAATCTCGATCCTGATAAAGCTCCATCACGTCGTGGGGCCACACTGGAGAATGGGCAGGACCAACGCACAAAAAATCGTCAAGGTAATTAAGGATAGAGTTGCACCACCCATTCCAAAAAGGAACTGAAGCATTCAAAGTAAAAACACGAAATTGTGCACCTCATTGGGAGACACATAGTATTGCCCCTCGAAAAAACAACACAGGAGTCGAAACGCTGATTCCATGTCAATTTTTGCCAATAACGCCCCGAACACATTGCCCGCACCATCCGTACCGCCGTATCAAACGAAGCATATGATACCTTACACAGCTCCGAGATATCATCATTTACCGAACCCCCATGAGGATGTGATAAATGATGAATCAATCTAAACTTCCCCCGTTCCTTCTTTGGAACGACTCCCAAAGGTGAGACCCTGAGGTGGGGAAGATGCGGCTCCCGAAAAGGACTGCTATGTGTCCCAGCGCCACTTCTTAAGTGATCCCCCACTGACTGAAGGTTCAGACGTGGGTGCTACCCTGTCCCAGGGCTTAGCCAGGGTTGCTTCATGCTGACGTCAACCGGTGTCCTCGCCCTTAGCGCCCAAAGCCTCCCCCTTGTCTCCAGACTTACCCCGTTTAAAGCAGCGGGACGCGGGGTGAGATCCCCTGCATCCTGAGCACTCATGTTTGAATCTACAGTCAGCACCACTGCGCTGGCTGTCATTGTACTGCCAACAACATCCCACTCTGCGCTGATCAGCCGACGCGGAGGGTCAAGTCCCCGGACCGGCTCTCCTGAGAAAAGACGAGATGCCCCCTTGGTGTGATGCCGGGCGAGTCATGATCGTCAGCCATAGGCCGATATCCATTTGGTCCCAGCCTTTGGATGGGTGGACTTCCAAAAGCTGACCAAACTGCTCGTCGTACCGCCACCACCCCATACCCCCATATACCTGACACGCGTTCCAAATAAGATCCTGGTAACAAAAAAGAGAAGAGCATTTCTCTGATGCCTTTTCCCCAATTATGCTGGCCAGGATGGAAAAAGCATGAATCCAATTACTGAATTTTGTCCCTGACGTCTGACTTTAAGTGCAGACCCAGTGGGCCAGACCAACAAATGTAAGCCGCACCATGGGCGGCTTGGGCCACCTCGTCGCCGGAGGCTGACACCGCCACCGCAGGCTGCTCGGTAGCCAACACCAGAACCACAGGCAGAACGGCCTGTAGTGTAGAAGCCGGACCCGCATCAGGCTCCTCCCCGGGTGATGGAGTTGATGTAATGACCCCAGGGGTAATACCCAACCAGACCGCCTGAATCTGGCTATCTAAGGAAGTATACAGTGGAGACACCGTTTGAGTGCTACACTTCCAGGAGTCCAAGAAACCCTTCATAGTCCTAACCAAGGCATCCCATTCCTGTAACGCGCCTGCACCCCCATCACCCTCCACCACCCTGCCACCCGCAGCAGAATACTCACAGATGGTCACAGGAGATGTAGGCAGCAGTGAAGCCAAGCCAGGACCAACAGGCTGAGCTGTATCCATGGGAACCGAAACCGCAGGATGGACCGCACTAAGTAGTGTAAGACAGGATGAGAAGCTGCTCAGGAGGGACCTGTGAAGACAGCAGAGGTAAGTGAGATCCCAACCCACCCACCGCAGCATTCAAAGGCCCAGCCATGGGGGAATTGGTGGGAGGCCCTCTAGAGACCGGCCCAGGGGAGACAGAGGGGGAGGCAGGTGGGGAAGGGGGGGTCTGTCAGACTCACTTGCAGTCCCAGGATCCAGCCCAGCCCCCTAACCCCCCAAGCCCTTAAAGATAGCATTAGCCCTCCTGCTTACCTGCAACCTACTCACCCTCCCAGTGGACTGCCTGGATGGGGATGCTTGGGATGGAGGTCGTGCTGCCGCGGTCTTTAATTTGCCGCGGTCCGCTGTGCAGCCCACAAATTCCTGGATGTGTGACTCCTCGCTGTCGCAAGGCGCCCGGCCTGCGAGGCAGGTGAAGCTTGGGCACTCGGAGCAGGCAGGGGCACAACCTCCCGGCTCGCTGCCGCATGGTGCCCAGCCTGTGAGCCCAATAATGGGGCCTGCCACGGTCCGCTGTGCAGCCCACAAATTCCTGGATGTGTGACTCCTCGCGGTCGCAAGGCGCCCGGTCTGCGAGGCAGGTGAAGCTTGGGCACTCGGAGCAGGCAGGGGCACAACCTCCCGGCTCGCTGCCGCATGGTGCCCAGCCTGTGAGCCCAATAATGGGGTCCTGCTTCCCCCGCCGGCCCCAGGAGTACTCATGTCCACAAGGCACCCGCCCCTGGTGAGAGTGGGGGCCAGGGAAGCCGGCACGTCCCATGGCTTGTGGCGGCATGGCGGCTGGCCTGCGAGCCAGAAACAGTGCTCCTGCTCCGTCCCCTAGCTAGGTCCCCTCGAGAGGACTAAAAAAGGGCAGGGGGTATGCTGTGACTGCTGGCGGGGAAGCGGCAACCACAGCGGCACCCTGCAGACGCTCCAGCTGGGCCTGCAGGTGCCGGCCACAATCATGGAAGGCCTCAGCCCTAAGGGCAGGAAGAATACTCTCAATACCCATGCCCTGGTCTTCTGGAAAGTACTGGTAACACAATCCCAGGAACAATTAACACTGGAAGTAACCAAGCCGTTATTCTAAGATAGCTGAAATCAGGAGGTAAAATGCCTGCCTATATATATAGTCCATCCCCTTCTTTTACCACTCCCCCATATTGCACCTGCACTTCCCCACACTCACACATGCCTCTTATCCGGCTTGCTTTCATCCTGCCTCCTCAGGATCTGTTCTTTCTAAGAGCATTATCAAAATCAGCATCCTTTTCAGTCAGGTTGTGATATCTGTATTTTACAAAGTGTTTTTTTTTATTACCAATAAACAACCATGAATTTGGAAAGCTGATTAAAACAGGGAACTCTTCGGAGAACAATTTTTACTACTTCTACCTGTTTATCACTTATAGAAACTGAGAAAGAAGATACAACTTAAAATCAAGAAAATATGCCCGAAATAGTTGTGTCTACTGTTCCTCAAATAGCAGAGACAAGTGACAAGTCAAAGAATAAAAGAAAAGCACACAATGCTACCCAATCTTCTTCTCAAACAAAGAAAAGAAAATATGATGACAGCTACTTGTCATTTGGATTTACAAGTTCCAGAAATGAAAATTATCCTGAAGCACAATGCATACTTTGCAATAAAATATTGCCAAACAGTTCGTTAGCACCTGCTAAATTATGTCATCATTTTGAGCAAACCACGCAGAGTACAGAGATAAAGACATTGACTTTTTTAAGCAAAAACTAAAGGGGTATCAGAAGAGTAAACACATTTTTGAGCAAAAATGTTCAAAATGCTAATGAAAAAGCCACAGAGGCGTCTTACAGAGTGAGTTACCGCATAGGAGTGAGTTACCGCATAGCACTTGCAGGAGAAGCACACACAATTGGGGAATCACTAATAAAACCATGTGAAAAAAAAATAGTGTTATGTATTTCAAGTAAGAAGTTGAGTAAAAAAAAATTGAAGCTGTGCCACTTTCCAACAACACAGTTTTGCGCTGTATTCATGATCTTACTGAACTAATTTCTCGACTGGATCAATGTGATGGGTACTCACTGCAATTAGACAAGTTCACAGATGTTGCAGAACTTTCAATTTTGTTGTTTTTTGTTAGAAATAATTTTGACAAACAGATTGAAGAAGACTTGCTTCTGTGTGAAACTTTGAAAACTCATACCACTAGTGAGAAAATCATTAACTGTATCCAGAAATTCATGAGTAGAGTTGAGCGGACACCTGGATGTTCGGGTCCGGCGGGTTAGGCCGAACTTTGAAAAAAAGTCCAGGTTCGTTCTCGAACTTAACCCCGAACTTGACCCCGAACCTCATTGAAGTCAATGGGGAACCGAACTTTTGGGCACAAAAATGCCTCTAAAAACTCCTGGAAAGGGCTAGAGAGCTGCAAAAGGAAGTAAAATGGGGATAAGAGTAGGACAAATGCCCTGCAAACAAATGTGGATAGGGAAATCACTTAAAATAACATAAAAATTAAAAATACAACTGAGCCATAAAATAGCACTAGATGGAATCTTTGATTTTAGCTTTGGAAGAACATAAATCAAAATCTAAAGCATGGTTGTCAGGAGGATCACCAGAATTATCCATTTGAGAGAGGGATGGAGTGCAAGGTATTCTCTTTCATTGTTAAAACTGAGCTCAACTCCTGATGCACGGAGAAAAGGCCTTCACAAGCCTCTGCTAATGTGTACATAGTTTATACTAAGTGACCCATAGGTTGAGGAGGCGGTGACCGTGGCAGTGTAGGTTGAAGCAGCAGTGGAGGAGGAGGATGAGGTAGCCAACACTGTGTTTTTTATGTTTTTTTTTTTTTTTAATTGTGGTAGCCCACAAAATATTGGGACATACAAAAAAAGATACATTTGCGTCCTGCGGTGCATTTCTTGCAGTATTGATGGATAGAGAAATGCTCAACTCGTGATGCATGGAGAAAAGACCTTCACAAGCCTCTGCTAATATGTACATAGTTTATACTAAGTGACCCATAGGTTGAGGAGGCGGTGACCGTGGCGGTGTTGGTGGAAGCAGCGGTGGAGGAGGAGGATGAGGTAGCCAACACTGTTTTTTATGGGGTTTTTTTATTTTTAATTGTGGTAGTCCCCAAAATATTGGGACATACAAAAAAAGATACATTTGCGGCCTGTGGTGCATTTCTTGCAGTCCTGAAGCATGGAGAAATGCTCAACTCCTGATGCATGGAGAAAAGGCCTTCACAAGCCTCTGCTAATGTGTACATAGTTTCAGGGTAGCCCCCAAAATATTGGAACATATAAAAAAAAAAGACAACTCTGTTCCGCAGAGTAGCTGTTGACATTATAGTTTCGCAGGCGCTTTGTTGACTCTAGAGAACCTCAGGCCAATCGCACATCCCCATGACGGTGACTTTGCATTCGGATGTCATCCATATCAACTTTCGATGCTAGTTTCTGCGCCTACCATGGTGACCACGGGTAACGGGGAATCAGGGTTCTATTCCGTACAAGGACCCTGAGAAATGGCTACCACATACAAGGAAGGCAGCAGGCGCGCAAATGACCCACTACCGACGCAGGAAGGTAGTGACGACAAATAACAATACAGGACTCTTTAGAGGCCCTGTAATTGTAATGAGTCCACTTGAAAACCTTTAACTCTGATCAATTGGAGGGAAGTCTGGTGCAGAGCCACTGACCCATGCGTGCTGTAGCTGAAACTCCACTATCGCCTGCTGCTGCTCTCACAGTCTCATGAGGCAGTGAGCGGGACAGCCGAAGTTACGCTACAGTGCAGACAGGCGAGCAGCAGCAGGGTGAGAATGCCAAAAGCGCGCACAGCCGCTACAGTGAATGTCACATCCTGTTCCAAGTTGCGGATCAGTCTGGTGATGGCTTCTTGTATCCAGTACTCTTTTTACTGAAGCTGCATCAGGGTCCTGGTATGTAGCCACACAAACGCTGGTGCTCAACACCAGGGGGTGTGCGGTTACCCTGCACCAGACCCTGCTAATCCATTCCACACTGTGACTCCTAACTTCAACATCAGGCATACTGGGTCCCGGTTGTCCGACCGCCGCCCAGACAGTGTCTGGGTCCTGGTCACCGGACTGCCCACCTCACCATGAAACTACGAATGGATCGTTAAATGTGGTACGAACCCGAACTTTGCAGTTTGGGTTCGCTCAACTCTATTATGGATCCTTTGATCGCTACATGTATTACTTGGATAACTGGTAATTCTCGAGCCAATACATGCCGACGACCGCTTTTGCACCTTGCTCCCTCTTATACTGTGCTGGTGCCCCTGTGCGACCAGTGCCTCTTCCTCCAAACTGCACACGTCACTCGCATGACCTTGATTCCATGTGGGGTCTAGGACCTCATCATCCTCCACATCATCTTACACCCACTCCTCAACCCTTCCCTCCTTGCCGGTATGCACACTGCAGAAAGCCACAGTAGTTGGCACCTGTGTTTTTCCAGCATGTAAAGTCTGCAAAGGACATATGGAAATTGTTTTAGAATTGTATCCAGGCAAAAGTTTTCCCTATAAACTGACTTCTCAGTTTGACTTGTGAGGGTATTGCCCCAGAATTACAATATTGTTTGAGTACCTCTTAGCTATTGATAACTGGTTTAAATATAGCAGCTTGTTATCTGGTAGTTACTAGTGTAGAAAATATCAAACTGTTTTCTATCACTTAGATCTGTGTAACAAGTGTTGTAGGTATGAAACAATATTACAAGTGACCGATTCAAATTAAAGTTACGCTTCGATTTGACTCTCAGATATGAAGTGAACACCCAAAATATACTATTTAGCACCAAAAAAAATAAAAAAAATTGACTTTTTTAAACTCCAATGTAAGCAGCAGATTAGCAGCAAAACAATTAGAATTTTTACAACTGCGCTGTAAGCCCACTATTAGACGCTTCTTTTGACTCTCAGATATGAAGAGCATGCCCAACATGTACTATTTAGCAGTTTAGCAGCAAAACAATTAGAATGTTTACAATTGCACTGTAACCGCAGTATTTGACGCTTCGATTTGACTCTCAGATATGAAGAGCAGGCCCCAAAATGTACTATTTAGCAGAATAGCAGGAAAACAATTAGAATGTTTACAACTGTGTAGTAAACGCACTATTTGACACCTCTATTTGACTCTCAGATATGAAGTGAGGACCCCGAATATACTATTTAGCACAAAAAAAAAAAAATGGACTTTTTAAAACTCCAATGTAAGCAGCAGATTAGCAGTAAAATAATTATAATGTTTACAACTGTGCTGTAAGCACACTATTAGAATACTATTAGAATATCAAACTGTTTTCTATCACTTAGATCTGTGTAACAAGTGTTGTAGGTATGAAACAATATTACAAGTGACCGATTCAAATTAAAGTTACGCTTCGATTTGACTCTCAGATATGAAGTGCACCCCACTAATGTACTTTTTAGCACCCAAAAAATGTTACGTTTTAAAACTGCAATGTGACAGCAGTATTTGACGATTCTATTTGACTCTCAGATATGAAGTGCACCCCACTAATGTACTTTTTAGCACCCAAAAAATGTTACGTTTTAAAACTGCAATGTGACAGCAGTATTTGACAATTCTATTTGACTCTCAGATATGAAGTGCACCTCTCTAATGTTCTATCCCACTAATGTACTATTTAGCACCAATAAAAATTTACTTTTTAAAACTCCGATGTAACCGCGATCTTTAAAGCTTCTATTTGACTCTCAAATATGAAGTGCACCCCACTAATGTACTAGTTTGCAGAATTCTTTCCTAAGCTGTCCCTCACAGCGGCAGCATCCTCTCCCTACACTAATAAGACCTCATGTGCGTGTGGCTGGGTCACATGCTGCACTGGCCAATCACAGCCATGCCATTAGTAGGCATGTCTGTGATGGCTTCTAAGGGCACACGAGTCAAACGCTTGTTGATTGGCTGCCCTGCAGCCTTTGAAAATGCGCCATTAAATCGCCGAACACCGAACTCCAACCCGAACATATAGTGATATGTCCGTGTTCGGGTCCGGGGTCCGGGGTCCGGGGTCCAAACAACGTAATGCTCGGTACGAACCCGAACTGTAGTTCGGGTTTGCTCAACTCAATTCATGAGCACACACAGTATACATTGGGACAAATGTGTAGATGTGTGCAGTGGTGGTGCCAAAGCAATGGTTGGGAAAGTGGCAGGTGCTGTGACACGTATAAGAAATATAGTAAAAAACAGCACTATTTCTTACTGTGTTCTTAACAGACATGCACTGGTAGCTAAATATATTTCAATCTCATTTAAAACTGTGCTAGACGAATAGGTCCAGATTATAAATTTTATAAAAAGTTGACCATTACAGTCACAACTATTTAAAATTATATGTGAATATATGGGTAGTCACCACTCTGCTCTGCTTTTGCATTAAGATGTCTGTTGGCTATCACGAGGTAAAGTCCTTGTTAGAATATTTGAATTGCATCACTAGTTGTTTGTATATTTTCAGGATCATAAATTTGGATTATCTGATCGATTAACAAACACTTTATGGTTATCCAAAGAAGCATATCTTGCAGACATATTCACAAAATTAAATGACGTATATCACAAGGAAAAAACACTAATATTTTTAATGCAAGAGATAAAATATTTTCACTGTCCCGTAAGCTGTAGTTTTGGACCTCATATGTTGAGCAAAATAATTTGAACTCTTTGCCTACACTTAAGGATTTTCTTGAAGAATTTAGAGATTAAACTTGAAGATGAAATTCGCAATGAAATTGTAGATCATCTTTACAATTTAATCACATCTATCAGTCAGTATTTTCCATTCCATTGAATTAAAACAATAATGACTGGGTTTGAAATCCATTCTTAAAAGACACCATTTTTTTTTATGTATATTTTGAGTATCTGATCAATTAAACTCCTGACAGTCAATTAACCCAAAAATGTAAAGAAGTTTCTCTTATTGCTTTTTGGGGTGATTTACACGAAGAATTATCCAAGCAGGCAATCAAATTTCTGTTGCCATTCGCCAGTACGTACTTATGTTATGGATTCTCGCTTTACTCTGGAACAAAAGCTAAGTATCTAAATCGACTTGATGCAACTGCAGATATGCGAATACAATTCTCAACAATTAAACCAGATATAAAAATAATTTGCCAGCAAAAGAGAACATTACACTATGCTCATTGAAAGGTTTGCGCTGTGCTACTCTACGGCACACATTTTTTTGGGGGGTTCCAAAGTGTTGCTCTACCATGTCAAAGGGTTCCACGGGAAAAATGAATTGCAAAACCCTGCTCTAGGTACTCCTCTGCTGTAATTGATCACATTGTACACTTCTGAATGCAGCATATTTTAAGCTTTGCACAGGTGATGTTCGGCAGCACCGGGTTACTAGTACTACACAAACACATAAAAAGTAAGAGTACTGGTGAAACTTCAAATCGGAATAACATTTTTGATAAATATAAATTGCCTGTAATCACAGAATGGTCTTCTTAGGTTACATTGTTTAATTATTCATTATTAATGCAGAACTACACACTATTTTTTATTTAAACCTCACAGGTACTTTTATGTGTATACACATTTGTGTACAAGCACATTCATCCCAATAAATGTACCTGACTTGGACCTGACACAACGTACTTCACCCTGTATAATATCGAATTACTATAGTAAGCCTCTGATTATCTAGCTGTCACAGTGCACCATAAGTAGCAGATAATCAATTTTACTGAATTAACCACTGTTATGTATTGATTAACCATCATAATGATGACTAATAAATCTCCAACAGTGAATAATTTTCCTTTAAAAATGAACTTCTTGCAGAAACAGCAGCTCGTGCATTACTGTAAGTAAAATAGCCAACTGGAAAATAATATGGAGTGACAGAAAGATAATCCCCCACTTTTGGCAATGTTAAGTGCCTAATAGTTAAAGAGTTAAGCTAAATATATACCATTATGTTTACTGCAACACTATAAGCATTCAAAATGTAGGTGATTTTGGATAGTTAGGAATTTGTGTGCTAATTGGTTTTAGATTAGTTAAAAAAGAAAAAGTTCTACCTTTACTGCATCGCAGCGATGGTCAAATTATTCTTCAATTTTAAACCTTCAGCTGGGTGACGATTCAACATAGTATGCACTACCAGGGCACTTTTTGAACTGAAGGCAGCTATGGACATGAGCTATCTGAAGATATTTAATTCACTTACTTGCTTCAGCGTGCCCACAGTGTCTTTAGAGCAGGTCCTCCTTTATGGCTTCTAGGGAGTTGGGGGCTAGCCTCATGATTGCTCTGCCTATAAATTGCTAAGTACTGCACTTGGCCAGTCCTTGGCAATTGGTTGTTCTTGTGTTTGCCCCAGTCTCCTAGAGTCCTGGTCCCTGAACCTGGTTCTTGTTCCCAGTTCCTAATCCTGTTTCTTGTGCCTAGTTCCTTATTGCGGTTTCCGATTCTAGTTCCAAATCCCTGATTTCTTGTAATGCTTCTCAGCTTATGATCTTTGACCCTGAACTTTTGCCTCTGGCATTCTGCTACCTATTCGTCTATTTCCTGG